TTCAATTGTTGTCTGTTGTGAGTTTCCTTATGAGCAAGGGCGGATGAGACGGCACAGTTGTGATTTTCTGCATACATTTTGGGAAATCAGTTGCTATTCTAAGAATTTTGAGGTTGAGCACGGTTGTGAGGTTCTAGATTTCCTGAAGTTTACTTCTTTTTTCGTGTGTTGGTGTTTATCGTGGTTTGGTATTATAAAATCCGTAAATACTCCGTGTTAGAGCACTACGATCGAAATGTCGTTAAAATGAATTGAGATATAGTTGGTTTAAGGGTTGAGTAAGTGCCTGAAGCTGCAATTGAAGTGATTCGAATTCAACAATGTAGGATGAGAGAACATGATGATCTTAAACTCTACTCATTGATAACCAGTTTTTGTACAATCAGAATTTACTGTACATGAATTAATTAGGCACTTCAACCAATGATTGTTATCTGGTTGTGTAATAGAATATATTCATTAACTCATACTATCCTCAAACCTTACATTTGCTGGTGGCATTTCGAATTGCCCCTTTTACAGTGAACAAAACTTAGTATGTTCCGCATTAGAAACTTCATGCAGTTAGTTATGAAAACAACTGAGCTAAGTCTATTTGGTTAGAGAGTTCAAACCCCAATATCATGCAAATGACCTGTATACTTTGCAGCTTCCTCAGCGAAATGAGTTACAGTTAGTACAATTTTAAGCCATCCCATTTTCATTTATGCTTAACTGGAACGAATTCTGCTAAAGAGCATGTTGATTGGTTTTGCAAATTTTGTTTTTGTGATTAGCTAATAAATGTCTAGGATCAGCTAAAGAGCATGTTGATTTGTTTTTGTGATTAGCTAATATATGTTACATATAAATGGATTTCCTCCTCATGCTATTACACTGGAATCTAGTTTGACGTTCAGGTTCAGTAAGCAAAGAAATATAAATTCTAAAGAGCAGTTTATTGGTCTCCTTCCATGAACAGTTCGGTGAGCAAAGTGGTACAATTTCTCCTATTTCACAAATATAGTTTTATTTAACCATTTCAACACAGTTAAAGAAAGCACAATTATTGTTATTGGACAGTAAAAATTAGTACATTCCAAATATAACCTTTGTGTTAATGATTATTGTATTTTGTAAATCCATTTCGTTGGTCCTCTTATTAATTGAATAGGGGATGGAACTTAATGTAAGAAGGACTAATTAGCCGGAAGGCATTTTCCTTTTTCTTTCTTTCTTTTTTCTTTTTTGTAATGGTTTATGGGTTTCTAGGCCATGTGGATGCTAGTTCACCGACTTTGGGGTCGAGCAGGTCTTGGAAGTCTATGGAAATGGAGATTGAATCATTGCTTGAGAAGTTACTTGATGTAAATGATTCAATGAGTCGATGTGCTGCATCTGCTTCAGCAACTACTTCAGTTACTCAAAAGCTTGCGAGACACCGGGACATATTGCATGAGTTTACCCAGGTTATTTATTGTCATGTTGATCTAACCCCTTCTTAGTAGTCTATGATACTATTTTATATTTATCAGTAACTAGAAGATTGAATAAATATTTGCCTTTCCACTCAAACAATGTTGAACACTTGTTATTCCGGTTACCCATTACCCCTTCTCTGAACATCATGAGACCATCATTTTATTATATTTTCTGCGAGACCATTTAACAAATAATTATTTCCATCATCGTGCTTACTCTTAACTGAAGATATGTATCTGGTTATTTCGTCCAAGGGCTAGTTGTGACGATCATATGAAGGTTCAAGTTTAGCTGGGCTGCTAGTTCCTTTTTGTTTTGTTTCCTATTTTAAATTAGTTGTTACTCCCCTAACTTTCTCTGAGCATTAAATAATACTTGGAACACACTTTGCCCAACTTCTATCCATTTTCGAAATCCTGAACTCATGGACTGGCTGGTCTTGAGGATTCAAGAGTTACTGTACTTCCCAGTTACAGATCGACATTCAATTCGTAAAGTAAATGGTCTGCACTTGATTGGAAAAATCTGTATGTGTTCTATCAACTAACTTGGGTTGAAATACTTGACCAGTTATGTTGATCCTGGTTGAATATTGATGTTTTGTATTTCTGTAGGAATTTAAGCGTATCAAGGGAAATATAAACTCAATGAGGGAACATGCAGAACTCCTGAGTTCCGTAAGAGATGATATAAGTGAGTACAAGGTGAGAATTTAATAAAACTATGAATATAAACAAGTTCCTGCCTCCAAGTGCCTTCGGCTGAAAGTTTTAAATTTTGCAGGCCTCTGGAAGTGTCTCTCCTAGAGTGCAAGTACTAAGGGAGAGAGCTGCAATACATGGAAGCATATCTCATGTAAGATTTAAAAGCTTCTGACTACTTGGGGAAAAAAAAAAAAAAAAAAATCTTCAATTGTGAGTTTGTGATACACTGGGCAGGCTGATGTAGTGAGATTGGACCCATCTTTGAGGGTTTGATACCCTTCTTTTCTTCTTTTTCAAAGTGAAGAAAGTTGCGTACCTTAAACGCTGACTGACTCTCCTCCAAGAAATGAGTTGACAGTCGTTAAAGTTGTTGTATTATAAAGAATGTCTTACCAAGTTACTGGGCCGAGACACTGTTAGAAACTGGTGATGTTTCTCATGTCTATGCGAGCATAATTGGAAAAATTCCTTGGTTATTAATTTCTGAAAGTCAATAGAATGGTCACTAGATGTTTGTAACTTAACCTCTGACAACTTATGTATAACTGCTTGTGTTTTGTCCTTATTTACTTGTTCTCTTATGAACATCTGCTCCATCATGATAGTAGCAATTCCTTCATTTTAGTTTAGCCAATGCTCTTTTCGTCTTTGTTTCGATTTTACAGCTATTATGTTATCGTGTATGTTTAATCATCAGCATTTTTGGTCTATCGTAGATTGATGATGTGATTAGTCAAGCTCAAGCAACTAGAGCAGCCTTGGGCTCCCAAAGGGCCTTGTTCGGAGATGTTCAAGGAAAAGTGAAGCAGCTCGGTGACAAGTTTCCTGTCATTCGTGGCCTTCTTGGTAATTCCTGGGAAGAAATGTTTGCTTCTATATTTTTTAAAAGCAAACCCATGCTTATTCTTTTGTTTCTTACTCTGACACAGGTTCCATTAAAAGAAAAAAATCACGAGACACTCTCATCCTTTCTGCCGTGATTGCTGCTTGTACGCTTTTCCTTATCATATATTGGCTTTCTAAATGAACATTCTAATTTGTCTTAAAGTTAAGTGAGGGAAAAGAGGCAATTCAAATGATTTTTCCATGCATGGTTATTAGAAAATGGAATTTGATTAAAGTTATGGTTCCTTATACATCGGATTCTCATTCTCTCGTCACCTACTCGTCTTACTTCATATGGAGAAGCAATATGCATTTATGGCACTTCACTGCATAAATTCAACGGAGTTACTAGACGACACAGATTAAACCTTGCTGTAGGGTGTCACTGTATTTGGATTCACGGATCCCAGGTTAAGGAAAACTTACTGGCCTTAAGTTTGAGAGTTTTTGGAAGGCGATGGTTTCCAAAATTTGAGAGTGATGACAAACCTCCAAATTTTCACACCCATTTCTCAAATGTAACTTGAAGAAAAACAATTCACAGCAATAATAAAATCCACCAAAATTAAAACGAGACAGAAAAAAAAAACATTAAAGAACCTCGAAATATTATTCACACATCGTATCGTCAACATGTGACGTATGTGCTAAAAAACATAGGGAAACAAAGCCTTGACATCCTTTGGGAAATTTTCAAACGTATACTCGTACCATTTTCTGGTGGCATAACTCCTTCCCATCAAGTACAAAACCGTTCCCATGGCATGAGAAACCGCAAAGACCGATTGCGAGATGCAACAAATCCCAATAAACCCAACGATTTCGAACAAATAGTGAGGGCACACTACAAAAGAAAAGAGGCCTCCACGCGGCATCTCGTAACGCTTTTCCTTACCCGTAGTTCTAAGTGTGGATAGAAGGTAATGGTGGTAAAAATTAGCAGTGATGCCCAGAAAATAAATTGAGATCCCAATGTATTTGAGGTCAACAGCCGGTTGGGAGGCTCCCATTTGAATCAAATGTTGACTGTATATGATTGTGATTGCATATGTGAAGTAGCTTAGAGAGATGGGAATCATGGCGTCCACGTCCATCCACCCACTGTATTTGTGAACCAAAAGAACCTAGCCACAAAAATAGATAAAAACATAGTATTAAATATGATCCTAATTTTAAATTACTACAAATTCCTATGCTCGCTTAAATAGGCTAATCTACACGGTACATTCGCACATACCTCAAGAATCCTCTTAAAGAAATGGAGGGTGACAGCAGAACGGAGCGCAGTGAACCGGAAATCTTGAAATGGGAAAAGGGCAAAAGTGGAAATTCCGGCGACAAGTGCAGGTCCATACACCACAACCATCCCCACCTTACTAGGGACCTTAGCCTTCATCATCTCCTTTTGTTTCTCAACATATTTATTACTATTATTATGATTGGTGGTGAACTTAGAATATTGCATGTGCTTTCCCTTAATCTCCATCCACCCGCCATTTCCCATCGACAGAAAGCTTATAACCGATAATGCATTGACCCAAGCACTCGGTGGCGGAGGATATAATATCCATTGAAAAACCGACGTCCATGGAACGTCCATGCCTCTCATTGCTACCTACTGCTGGAGATGAGATCTTAATTTCTCTCTCGTGTTTGTGGGTTTGTGAGTGTGTAATGCATATGTATTGATGTGTATGCTATGGACTTGGCTTGGCTTCACATGTGCCACTGGTTTTTGTGGAGTACAAAATTGTGGAATAGCATTTTTGTAACACCCTTAAATTGAAAGAAAAAGGGTTCAATATTGGAAGACCTTTGAAATGGTGGGCTCTTTACCTAAAATTAAAATTAGTGGATGTTAAATGATCATCATTTCATGTGCCACTGGTTTTTGTGGAGTACAAAATTATGGAATAGCATTTCTGTAACACCCTTAAATTTAAAGAAAAGGGGTTCAATATTGGAAGACCTTTGAAATGGTGGGCTCTTTACCTAAAATTAGTGATGCTAAATGAATCATCATTTCTACACTTAAATTCAAAGAAAAGGGGTTCAATATTGGAAGACCTTTGAAATGGTGGGCTTTTTACCTAAAATTAGTGATGTTAAATGAATCATCATTTCTACATGGCGTGTCCGTTTAGAGCACCCACAATGCTTTGGGTCTCTTAAAGAAAAATCAAATGTCATATAGGAAATAGACTAAGTCCATAAAAGATGTACTCCAATGCAATAAAAAGTAGACTTAGTCTAGCTTATGTGGCACTAGAAAAAGGAGACCAAGCCCACCCTTGGATATATTTTGGACCCAAGTACAAACCTGCCTAGTTATAAATTGTTCACATTTTACTTTTTTATTTTAATAGGCAAAACATATTCTTTTGTATGCATTTATTATTATGATATTTTTATTGATTATTGGGTATACTAGACCTAGTAGTTTTATTTTTGCATTGGATAGATTTTAGATTTTTTAGCTTGGGTTTGTCTATGTCATTATGGACTTAAGTCTCTTTAATTGCCACATATGCAAAAATAGATCCAAAGCATTGTGGATGCTCTTAGGCATTAAAACTAATAGAGTTTAGATCATTCATTTTCCGCTTTTGTGAACCTGTATTGATATTTTAGGCCATCTCCAACCGAATACCCCATATTCAAACCCATTTTGCAGTACCTATCCCATTTTGCAGTAATTCATCTCCAACCGAAAAACCCATTCTCCAACTCGAAAGACTATTATCTTTTGCATCAACTTTTACAACTTTTCAATACTACCCACATATTTTACAACTTTACAAATTAAACCTAACTATTATTTTTCAATTCAATTTGGAATTTATGTAATAAACTAATTATAAAGTAAGGCAAAATTACAAAAATGATACACTAAGTTAGGTCGTTGTCAACAAAGAGACATTATGTTGTCACGCACGCTAAAGAGACACGAAGTTGGCATTTTGGTCGGGAACGGCACACTAACCACCCCCCTCCCCCTGATAAAAATCCGACGTGGCGTGATTAAGTTATTACGTGGCATTTCATTTTTCGGGCTCTTCATGCGTGGAATTTCCGTGTATGCCACCGTGGACGGATGTACATTTTGGAGGGAAAATCGCACCACACCCGTCTTTAATTTGGGGAAATCACAAAACCAACCCTAATTCCTCGTTTCGATCGTGCACAAATTAGGGCAATTTGAAGAACCCTAAAAATCGCCACCTCAATTGCAATAACCCTAGATTTTCTTCACTTCAATTTCGACCTCAATGACAGAAAACCTAACCTAGGTTTTCTTCAAGCTCAATCACTCACATCAATTTCGAGCTCAATCTATCAACCGCGCTCATAATGAAGAAAAAAACTGTTCGAAAATCGAATCCCATTTGGAAGTTTAGCAAAAGGCCTTCGTGTTCCTGACTGTGAGATTCAGATACGCCCTAGTGACAAAGAATTTTGCCCAGCTCCTAGATACAATATGTTAATTAACGGTTTTCTATTTTTTCTTCCAATAGCTTTACCATTTGTTAATGTATTTTTTTTCATGGGAAGAGTCAGTTGATACTTCACCAAACGCATTGTGTACGGAATCTCTTGGTCATATTGTTTAATTTTGTAAGTTTGTCCACAATATTGTCCTGGATGATTTTTCATTGGATTTTTTTATTGTTACTGCAGGCACAACTAGTAAATACTTCACAGTTACCCTAGATTTTGGGGGTACTTTTGATACTATAGGGAAGAAACATTGTGCATATCTAAGTGGGAGCAGAATTTAGATTGACTAGTGGATTATGAAATGGTCACACTTGCTGACTTTAGGTCTGTTGGCAGAGTTTAAAGGGTGCAAAAACCCTATGAGACTGCACACGTATGTTGGTGTTGGGATTTCATGTTGCTTTCAATAGAGACCGATCTTCAGAGTTGGTGGCAAAGAAGTATCAACAACATTAGGGAGGTTAGTTTGTTTGTTGAAGAACTAAGTGAAAATACAGAGGTTGTTAATCAAAATGCAGAAGTTGTTAATGAAAATGCAGAAGTTGTCAATGAAAATGAAGTTGGAAAGGAGGTTGATGAAGATGATAGTGATGAGACTTTTGAGGGGGAGAATGATAGTGAAGTTGACAAGTTGGATGACATCTTGTTTGATGAACATGTGGATGAAATTGAGGGTGAGGTGGGGGCTGAGACTGATAAGGGTGAGGTTGAGAAGGGTGAGGGTGAGGGTGAGAAGGGTGAGGGTGAGGCTGAGGATGAGGGTGAAGAGTGTTGAAGATTTAGATAAGATTGTGGATGAGGTGGCTGATTTGATGGCTGAGAATGGTGGGGTTGAGCTTGATGGTGGGTTTGAGGCTGATGGTGGGGTTGGTGGGGAGAGTGAGGAGAGTGATGAGAGTGATGATGATATTGTGGATTGGGAGTATGATATGGAAGCTGACAAGGTAGATGATAAGATGTTTGATGATAATGTTGACTTTGATGTTGAATGGTTGGATGGTCAGAGGGAAGGTGTTAGAAAAACTGTAAATGATGGCATCTCGGTTGAAGCTGACACTGATGTGGTCTATTGTGATGATTTGCACAGTGATGACAGTTCTGAAGGAAAGGATCCAAGTCGCCAGTACCCTATTTTCAACACTGTAGAGTTATATGATCCTACTTTCAAGGTAGGTTTGGTTTTCAGTACCAAAGGTGAACTGAGGACAACAATTCAGCCAAATGCCATCAAACGCAAAAGAAGTGTGAAATTAACAAGAAGAGATAGCAAGTATATCCATGCTAAATGTGTTGATTTTGCTTGTGATTGGAAGCTGCATGCTACTAAGATCAAAGGAGAGGAGGCCTGACAAGTGATAAAGTACACTCCCAGTCATACTTGTGCTGCCACAGCAAAGGTTAAAAATATTACCTCAAGATGGTTTGCTGGTAGATATGCTCATGAGGTGCAATGTGATCCTGACAGAAAGGTTAAGGGTTTTAGAGACAGTAAAGTGAGGGAGCTTAGAGTGACACTCTCCAGAGCACAAGCATATAGGACAAAAATGACAACACTTGCTAAAAAGACTGGTTGTAATACCCCATTTTATCGTGGATTAATTGGGAATAAATATTAATTATTGTTATTATTAATTTCCTTATTATTATTATTACTATTATTATTATTATTATTATTATTAAATAATGCCAAATTGCTATTATTTATTTGTTATTAGTAATATTGCTATTATTAATTGTCTAAATATTATTAATTGTCAAATTGTAATTATTTGTCTAAATGCATATTTTTTTTATTACTATTATTATTATTATTTTAAAATAATAAAATGTGTTGTATATATATATTTGATCCGGTTTCATTTTATTGATCGTGCGATTTTATCCGAGCCCGAGAACCGATCCAATTTTTTTAAGTCGCGTTAGAACCGAGCTTTCGACCCGATGAACCAAATTTTTGATCCGGTCCGGTTTCCTCACGTGCGTGTGTGTGCGTGTGGTATTTTTCTTGCAAAACAAGAAAATAAAACCTAATCTATTTAAGGTATATATATATATATTTTTGGCCCCTCAGCAGAAAAGAAAAAGAGCAAACCCGCAACACCTTAATCCTCCCGCAGCAAAACTTCAAAATCGAAATCTGCTCTCTCTCATGGCCATCGTCGACCACCTTCTTCAACCATCCATCAACATCCATCAGCACCATCCTCCATAACCATCATCATCGCTGCGATCTCTTCTCGCCGGCGTGCTATTTCCGGCGATCCTTCACCCTGCTGCGCCGCCGCGACGTCCAAGCAACCAGCGGCGCCATCAATCTCCTCCATCAACGTCCAATCTCAGCTTGCGGTACCCGTCGAGTTCCGTTGAAGAGCCTATCGTGATCGTTGAGTTCCGTCGGATTCCGTCGGAGCGTTAAACGAAGCCGACGAGTTCCGGACGTCGAGCCGCCATTGTCGCCACCTTCTCCGCGAACAGTTGCAGGCCACCGTCGACCCGTCTTCTGTGCTCGCCGCCGTCCGTCGCTGCTCCTGCTCGCGAGTCCCGTGCCGTTCGTTCATCTTCGAGCCCTGAATTTCGCGAGCCCGCTTCCGGCGTTTCCCCACGCGCAATAGTCGGGTGACCCTTCCATGTTCGATCCTCACCCCATTCGAGCGACCCGCGACCACCGAGAATCAGTCCGGAGAGTCGTCCCCACAGTTCATCGCACCCGCGAGCAGGAAAGCCGTCGCTCTTCCGCCCGGCACCACCGCTGACAACCACCGCAAAGAGCTAGACCAGCGTTCAGCTCCATTGACCATCTTTGCTCGTTGCTGCCATCGTGGTGAGGCTCCGTTTTCCCCACTGAGTTGCTGTTCGTGAGGTAACAGCGGGGCCATAGTTGTTGTCTTGGGACTTGTGTCCCGTCGGTAAACCAAACGAAGCTGTCGAGCCCTTGGTCCTGTCAATCCGTTCGAACCATTCTCGCGTTTCCTGAGCACGGTATCGAGTCTCGACCCCTCGATTAATTTTTTGTGTTTATTAGATGCGTTTAGCATGTTCTATGAATTAATATATAAATGCCTATGATTTTATGTGTTCATAATTGGTTCATTGTATATATTA